TTGGGGTTTTTGGGGTCGCTACGGATTCGGGGTAAATCCTGGGAGTTTTGCTCAAAAATCTCGTGATTTTTGGGGCAAATCCGGGGGATTTTGGGACCTGCCAGTGACCCAGAGGAAGAGGAATCCCTCGTCCTGCAGCACGGGGATGTTGAGGCGCCGCATCTCGTCGTCCGTCAGCGTCCCGTAGGGCAGCTCCATGTGGATGTCCCAGGGCGGGTCCGCCATCACCACGGCGAACTTGCCCAGGATGGACACGTCCAGGTAGCGGATGTCGCAGCAGATCCACTGAAAAAACGGGGCAAAAACGGGGAAAAACGGTTAAAATGGCGAAAAATGGTGAAAAATGGCAAAAAACGGCAAAAAAACAGCTAAAAAGGGGAGGAATTGGGTCAGAAATGGTGTCTCAGGAACTTGCCCAGGATGGACACGTCCAGGTAGCGGATGTCGCAGCAGATCCACTGAAAAAATGGGGCAAAAACGGGGAAAAACGGTTAAAATAGCAAAAAACGTCGAAAAACGGCAAAAAACGGCAAAAAAACAGCTAAAAAGGGAGTAATTGGGTCAGAAATGGTGTCTCAGGTGATTGGCCAGGATGGACACGTCCAGGTAGCGGATGTCGCAGCAGATCCACTGAGAAAATGGGGCAAAAACGGGGAAAAACGGTTAAAATAGCAAAAAAGTCGAAAAACGGCAAAAAACGGCAAAAAAACAGCTAAAAAGGGGAGGAATTGGGTCAGAAATGGTGTCTCAGGAAGTTGCCCACGATGGACACGTCCAGGTAGCGGATGTCGCAGCAGATCCACTGAAAAAATGGGGCAAAAACAAGCGAAAACGGTTAAAATGGCGAAAAATGGTGAAAAATGGCGAAAAACGGCAAAAAAACAGCTAAGAAGGGAAGGAATTGGGTCAGAAATGGTGTCTCAGGAGTTTGTCCTGGAGGGATGTGTGCAGGGAGTGGATGTCGCAGCAGATCCACTGAAAAAACGGGGCAAAAACGAGCGAAAACGGTTAAAATGGCGAAAAATGGTGAAAAACGGCGAAAACCGGCAAAATAACACCTAAAAAGGGAGGAATTGGGTCAGAAATGGTGTCTCAGGTGATTGACCAGGATGGACACGTCCAGGTAGCCGATGTCGCAGCAGATCCACTGAGAAAATGGGGCAAAAAGGAGCGAAAACGGTTAAAATAGCGAAAAATGGCAAAAAAACACCTAAAAAATCCCCATTAATAGAATAAAAAAATCCCCATTAATAGAATAAAAAATCACCACCAATAGAATAAAAAATCCCCACTGATAGAATAAAAAATCACCATTATCATAATAAAAAATCCCCATTAATAAAAGAAAAAATCACCATTAATTGAATAAAAAATCCACCATTATCAGAATAAAATAACCCCCAATAACAGAATAAAAATCCCCCATCAATACTCTAAATAACCCCCGTTAACACACTAAAAAACCACCATTAACATAATAAAAAATCGCCATTAATAGAATAAAAAATCCCCATTAATAGAATAAAAAATCTCCAGTAACAGAATAAAAAAACCCCTAATAATAGAATAAAAAATCCCCATTAATAGAATAAAAAATCACCATTAATTGAATAAAAAATCGCCATTAACATAATAAAAAACCCCCATTAATAGAATAAAAAATCGCCATTAACATAATAAAAAACCCCAATAATAGAATAAAAAATCCCCATTAATAGAATAAAAAATTTCTATTAATATGCTAGATAATCCCCATTAATAGAATAAAAAATCTCCATTAATATACTAAATAATCCCCATTAATAGAATAAAAAATCCCCATTAACATAATAAAAAATCACCATTAATAGAATAAAAACCAGCCATTAACATAATAAAATAACCCCCAATAACAGAATAAAAATCCCCCATCAATACACTAAATAATCCCCATTAATAGAATAAAAAACCCCCAAATAATAGAATAAAAAACCCCCAATAACAGAATAAAAATCCCCCATCCATACACTGAATAACCCCCGTTAACACACTAAAAAACCACCATTAACATAATAAAAAATCCCCATTAATAGAATAAAAAACCTCCATCCATACACTAAATAACCCCCGTTAACACACTAAAAAACCACCATTAACATAATAAAAAACCCCCATTAATAGAATAAAAAATCGCCATTAGCATAATAAAAAACCCCAATAACAGAATAAAAAACCCCCATCAATACACTAAATAATCCCCATTAATAGAATAAAAAACCCCCAAATAATAGAATAAAAAACCCCCAATAACAGAATAAAAACCCCCCATCCATACACTGAATAACCCCCATTAACACACTAAAAAACCACCATTATCAGAATAAAAAATCCCCAATAACAGAATAAAAAATCGCCATTAATTGAATAAAAAATCGCCATTAATAGAATAAAAAACCACCATTAACATAATAAAATAACCCCCAATAACAGAATAAAAATCCCCCATCCATACACTAAATAACCCCCGTTAACACACTAAAAAACCACCGTTATCCGAATAAAAAACATTAAAAAAACCCCTAATAATAGAATAAAAAATCCCCATTAATAGAATAAAAAATCCCCAATAATAGAATAAAAAATCTCTATTAATATACTAAATAATCCCCATTACTAGAATAAAAAATCCCCATTAATAGAATAAAAAATCGCCGTTAACATAATAAAAAACCCCAATAATAGAATAAAAAATCTCCATTAATATACTAAATAATCCCCATTAATAGAATAAAAAATCACCACTACTTGAATAAGAAATCCCCATTAATAGAATAAAAAATCGCCATTAATTGAATAAAAAATCGCCACTAATTGAATAAAAAATCGCCATTAACATAATAAAAAATCACCATTAATTGAATAAAAAATCATCATTAACATAATAAAAACCCCATAATAGAATAAAAAATCTCCATTAATATACTAAATAATCCCCATTAATAGAATAAAAAATCACCATTAATTGAATAAAAAATCCCCATTAATAGAATTAAAAACCACCATTAATAGAATAAAAAATCGCCATTAACTGAATAAAAAATCACCATTAATTTAATAAAAAATCGCCATTAACATAATAAAAAATCCCCATTAATAGAATAAAAAATCGCCATTAACATAATAAAAAACCCCCGAATAATAGAATAAAAAACCGCCATTAACATAAAAAAACCCCCCCGAATAACAGAATAAAAATCCCCCATCCTTACACTGAATAACCCCCGTTAACACACTAAAACCCACCGTTATCAGAATAAAAAAACATTAAAAAAACCCCTAATAATAGAATAAAAAATCCCCATTAATAGAATAAAAAATCCCCATTAACTGAATAAAAAATCGCCATTAACATAATAAAAACTCCCCATTAATAGAATAAAAAATCGCCATTAACATAATAAAAAACCCCCAATAATAGAATAAAAAATCGCCATTAACATAATAAAAAATCACCATTAATTGAATAAAAAATTGCCATTAACATAATAAAAAATCACCATTAATTGAATAAAAAATCATCATTAACATAATAAAAACCCCAATAATAGAATAAAAAATCTCCATTAATATACTAAATCATCCCCATTAATAGAATAAAAAATCACGATTAATTGAATAAAAAATCGCCATTAACATAATAAAAAATCCCCATTAATAGAATAAAAAATCACCACTACTTGAATAAAAAATCCCCATTAATAGAATAAAAAATCGCCATTAATTGAATAAAAAATCGCCATTAACATAATAAAAAATCCGTATTAATAGAATAAAAAATTGCCATTAACATAAAAAAACCCCCCCGAATAACAGAATAAAAATCCCCCATCAATACACTGAATAACCCCCATTAACACACTAAAAAACCACCGTTAACATAATAAAAAATCCCCATTAATAGAATAAAAACCCACCATTTATAGAATAAAAAATCCGTATTAATAGAATAAAAAATCGCCATTAACATTAAAAAACCCCCCCGAATAACAGAATAAAAACCCCCCATCCATACACTGAATAACCCCCGTTAACACACTAAAAAACCACCGTTAACATAATAAAAAATCCCCATTAATAGAATAAAAACCCACCATTTATAGAATAAAAAATCACTATTAATTGAATAAAAAACCACCATTAACATAATAAAAAAAACCCCAATAACAGAATAAAAATCCCCCCTCCATACACTGAATAACCCCCATTAACACACTAAAAACCCACCGTTATCAGAATAAAAAAACATTATAAAGTTTATGGTCACCTGCGGCGGGAAGAGGCGGTCGGCGCCGGCGTCGGGCGGGGCGGGGCCGCGGGGCGGCGCGGGGGGCGTGGCCTGCGCGGGGGGGCGTGGC